ACGGAGGGCTCTTAATGGTTCCTGCCCTGGGCACCCCATATGTGCTAGATATTCAGTCCTTAAATCAATTTTCAAGCAATTATATCATTTCAATAACTCAATATTAGTTATGTAAATGATAAAGATTGCTGGGATTGTGGCCCAGAGGTAGAGCTCTCGCCTAGCAGGTGTGAGGCACTGGGTTGAATCCTTAACGCTGCATAAATAAAGATATTGTGTCCACATATAACTAAAAAATAAATATTTTAAAAATGATAAAGATTATCAACTTAGAACTATATAATAAGAATCTACTTGAAAATGAATTTGAATTTTTTTTAAGTTGTGTAATCCTGTTTGAAACAGACTTCTATTTTGAATAAAGTCATAGTTGTTTGGCACAATGCTTAGCAGCAACAATAGGTATTTAATAAATATATAAAAATAAATAAAGGTCCACCAACAACTAATAATAAAATATTTAAAAGAAAGAGTGAGGGAAGGAATGAATGAAGGGATAATGCTGATATTTATTGGGTACTTACTGTGCATCAAGCATTATACCAAGTGCTTAGCAAATATATGTAGTCACTAATATTATGCCTATTTTGCAGGTGATGAAATGGATGCTCACAGATTTGAATTATTTGTTCTAACTTCAGAATTAGAGAGTGTTGAGATAAGAAACTGGTTCTAGGGCAGAGTTCTCAGCTAATACACTGGTGACTCCCGTTAGTGAATGGTCTGTGTAATGCTTTATGAAAGGGATTTAGACACCCTGGCCTTTCAGTATCAGCTATTATTGATTTGACTTTCCCATATATATGACACACACTATCTTGTCCTACTCAGCTTTTCTCAGTGTCCTCTTTAGTGATGTCCTTAGTGTCCATCATTATATCATGTGTCATACTGATGTTTCTGGAGACTGTTGAAGGATGTGGGTTGGTTTGCTCTGCTTCAGTATGACCTCAGACTTTTATGTCATTTTTATTTGTTTGCTATGATTCTTCCCCTTCTTCTGTTATATGCTCTCAGTTTGGGCTATTCAGAGTGAAGCTTCACTGTTTGCATGTAATTTTAGATCAATGACTGGGAGGGAGTGGGCAGTAAGACTGATCCACATGAATACAAAACCAAACAAAACCAGCCACCATGAATTGGTTGCTGGTTTGGAAGGAGGCATTAAAAAAAAAAAATAAAATATATATATATATATATATATGTATATATATAGTTGTTAATGGACTTTTATTTTATTCATTTATTTATATGTGGTGCTGAGAATTGAACCTAGTGCCTCACACATTCTAGGCAAGTGCACTATCACTGAGCCACAACCCTAGCTCTGGAAGCAGATATTTTGTTAGTTCCATCATATACCTTATTTAAATATACCTCTTATTAAAATTTTATGACTCTCAAAACCACTTATTACCCTAGAGCTTATCATGCATAAGGCCCTGAGAAAAGCAAAGAAATTTCCTCAAGATTTCATAGTTAGTAATTGATAAAAATGGAAATCCAGGTCTGTCTAAAACCAAAGCTCATAAACTGTGGCCTCTGCTCCTCTGCCTGCCATCTTGGGTAGAGAGCTTGAGTGGCCTAGTGATCAAAGGGGTTTAGGGAACTTCAATGTGGAGTTTGTGGAGACAGAGTCCAGAAGGGTACATGTAAAAGGTGAGGTGCTGGTTGGTAAGGGCCTCTAAGTGGCCAAGTGTTCAGAGGCCAGATGTTGTCATAGCTATGTTCCCTTAAGACAAATGACCTTCTTATTTTTAAAAACCTCTCTCAATATATTTATTTAACAATTTTTTGAGTAACTAATCTGTTTCAGGCACTAGGTTGGTGATAATATTTTGAGTAATTGAGATTGCTAGAAGTCTGTTCTGAGCCATCTTCTCAAAATTAAATCTTTTTCTGATTATCTTAAAGTTTTTATTTGATTTTTTTGGTGGTGTGGGGGGAGGGTACTGAGGGTTGAACTCAGGGGCACTCAACCTCTGAACCACATCCCTAGCCCTGTTTTGTATTTTATTTAGAGATAGGGTCTCACAGGGTCTCACTTGCTCAACGCTTCACCGTTGCTGAGGCTGGCTTTGAATTTGTGATCCTTCTGCCTTAGTCTCCTGAGTCACTGGGATTACAGGCCTTCATCACTGCACCTGGCTTGATATACTTTTTTATTTGAAACTAATACACTGGATTAACAACAGATTCTAGCATTCTCCCAACTAATGACCTTTGCCAACTGATAATAGCTCTTTAATAGAAACTTCTTTAAAAGACGAGTTTCACCTTGCAATTAATCTGTATTTTTACTGGGTTGAACACATCATTAGTGCTTAGAATCCTGCTTGCATTTTGATGGGTACAGGTTAAAACAGAGGACAAGGTCTGAGAATTTATAAACTTGGAAGCTTTATGAGCAGAGTTTAGAGTGGAGGAATTCTGGTTAGAGGTGGCAACCCTGTTAGGTAGGACCAGGGACTTTTGCTTGCTAAGGAAAGACTGAAGGGGACTGAGAAATTGTCCCTTGGGGAATTGTGCAGGTAAGAAACCCCAGGTGGTAACACTTGGTTCTAATACAGGACTAGAATTTGGGTTTTATACATGGAATTCCATGAGCTCTCTGCAATGTGGCAACTTCAGATGAATTTCTAGATGGAATTCTATGTAGCTCAAGTTCTACATCTCCCGGGAAATTTTCCATCACACATTTATTTTCCCTCTGTGCACTTTTATAGGATTCATAATTTAAACCTTATGATGAACACTTAATTGTATGCATTCTTGCATATCTTGGAGATTCTTATTATTTTGGCTTGCTTATACCTAAGTTGTAAGTTCTTCAAGAAAAGAATCAAGTTTACATGAATTGGTAGCCCTCATGCTTGGCTAAATATTATGTGGAGCAGCTAAATGGGGTTTTATACATTCTTAAGTACTGCAGAAAATATTTGAATACCATCAGCAATTTAAAATACCCTTGTGTCTTGGGCTGCGGGAGGGTGGGTAGCTCAGTGTTAGAGCGAGTACTTAGCATGCACAAGGCCCTGGGGTCGCTTCCTAGTACCAAACAAGCAAAAAATACATTTAGAACAAGTTATTAATGCTTTTCTGCTAAGGTCTACAAAATATGCAATAGAGTCTCTATAATTTTTCTATTAAATTTATGATTTAGTGTTTTATTTAAAATACACATTATATCAGGACTAACAATGTTGGCAGGACTAATACATAGCTCCACAAAAATACTTAAATTGAGTGAAATTCCAACCAGGCTGTTGATTATAGTATTTATTTATATCATACTATTGTAATTATTGAGTGGAGTTCCCATATACCACAGAAAGGGAAAATCCCTTTATTTCTTCAGTTTGTCCATTTTTTTTATTGCTTTACAACTGATGAAGGTAAATGAAAAATTTCTGGAGAATTTTTATCACCACAAACTTCTACTTTGGTAACTTATTCTCATAAAGCAAAACCCATAAATGCTATTCACATTTCCCAATTTTTTAGGTGGAGTGGATTCCTCCTTTGTGCCATTGCAATGTTTCTTGTGATATTCCCAATGTTTACTTTTCCAAAAAAGCTTCCACCTCGGCACAAGAAAAAGAAAAAGAAAAAATATTCTGTTGATGTCGCTAGCGATGATGATGTTATGAAGGAGAAATCAAACAATAGTGAACAAGTGGACAAAAAAGTGTCTTCAATGGGATTTGGAAAGAATGTCAGAGGTAAAGTATATCTTTTGAATAAATACATGCATGGTATTTCAGATCAGTGCTCCTCAAAGTGTGGTCCCAGTACTGCCCACAGTATCTGTTTCTGGCTTATGGCCAGTTAAGTATTGAAATGAAGAGAAAGAGCTGCAAAATGTTTTTAGAAATTTGGCAAGATAATTTTACGTCTGTTGCATCTAATAATACTTAAAACAGTTGGGCTTATGTGTTGCATTTTTAAAAGATCAATTTTATAATAATTTATCATGAATGCATATTGCAAAAGTATCTGTAGATGACAGATTGGAAATAGTGATAATGGAAAGATCCTTTCTCTCAGATAGCTTGGGAAGCACTGATTTAGTTCATAAAGATACAGATGTTTAAATGTACCATCTACCGTAAGTAGAGATGTCTGATTTTTAAAATACTGAATGCACTGTGAAATAGATGGTCTGTTTCAGGGGTATGGTAGTTTGGTAATGTGGCCTGATTCTTACCTAAGGATAAGAACCAGCACTAAAAAGTATTCTCATTTCAAAATGGCTCTGTCAAATGTCCATATATA